TCCTTTCCATTTGTCCCTGAGAACATAATCTGTTACAAAGAGACGTACAATTGTACTTGATATTTATAATTTGGGGGCTGAAGTGCAAGTATTTATTTATTTTTATTTTGTTGCTTTTCTTCACCGTTCTAAAGTTTTCCAAAATAAAGATTATATGAGCTCCAGAAGTGTCTTGTCTGCTCCCCCATGAGAGCAGTGTCTCATCTTTACATAACAACCCTGACTGCCTGTTCCTGCATGATTGCACCAAATCTGGAAATACGGTGAAATTTCTCCATAGGTAACCCACTGCTACCACGCTCCAGCTCTGTCTCTGGTCTCCTTCAGAGTGAGGGTTTTGGTGTCCCCAGAGTGGCTTTGCCATTTCATTTCTAAGTTTGGCAAATGCAAATAGGAATAGGTCCATAGGACCTTTTCAAGAGTAACCCTCCGTGACAGTGCTATAATATAGATGCACCCTTAAGCTAAGTACAGACAGTCAAAAAGCCTGAGACTGAATTGATTCAATCTTCGCAGGTTAGTCGAAGCTTTCTAGATTGAACCGATAAGCAAGTGAACAGGTATTCACTTTTGATTCCGCAAATGTCACCACATGCCTTCAGTGGCCCAGGCCAGAAGTTGGGAGGTGCTAGAGTATAGGTGCTAACCCTCCCACCCTGTGTGGGGGCATTTGTGGAGGAGGTGCAAAGCTGGGGGACTGTGAGTTAACTTGAATCTGAAGGGGATCTGGGACAGAAGTTCAATAAGCCATCTTAACCTAAATCAGTTCAGTCTGATACTGCATCCATCCAGGTTTATCTTAAAACAGTTTCAGCCATTTTATGTGCACTGAACTTCTGTCGTGTTACAGATTTGTACCAGTTTCCGATCACTTATACCGGTTTATGTGTAATTTCTAGATCACTGAGCCAGACTTTCTCTTGCTCGCTCTCCTTCTGGTTCTATCAATCTTATGTTCACTTCTGCACAGCATACCTTCAGCAAAGATGGAAGGTGCAGCCCACATAGAATAATTTCTAGTCTTCTGTTTAGAATATTTTTTTTCTTGGGAGGTGGTAATGCTTTCATGTTCACAGACGAAAATGAGTTTAAAACCCAGGTCCTATTTTCTGGGCATGTGTTCGAACCACCAAGATATTTTACAAAAGGCAAATGTCAGCTTCACTGGCTGGAAAAAAAAACACTGCACCTATTTGGGGAAATGACAGGCCTGATCTCAATGCATATTAGATGTACTCAGAATGTGCTGGCACAATCTGGCCCCTCAGGGAATGGAGGCACAGCTCTGCTAGTTTTTAGATCCCAATGTGGTGTAGTGAAGAGCTAGATAATTAGCCCCTCAGGACAGAATGTGCTCACTACTGTACTGCAGGCACCTAGGGAAATTGCTGCATCAACAGGGATGGGCCTTTTGAGTTTCAGCATTTCAGGATTAGGCTACATATTTCCAGAGTTAGGCAGCTACTCACTAGGGCTAAATACAGACAGTCAAAAAGCTCAAGGCTGAATCGATTCATTCTTCTCAGGTTTGTCTAAGCTACACAGATTAAATTGCAACACGAGTGAACAGACATTTACCTTTGATTCAGGAAATGCAGCCACATGCCTGCAGTAAGGAAGCCAGAGGGAAGCTAGAGTAGGGCTCTCTGGCTGTATTCACTTCCTGTTCCTGCTGCCCCTGATGTCTCTGGGATTTGCAGTCCAGAATTACAGTAGCAGGAATCTGCAGGGTTGCTCATCACTTTATCTTCCTGCTTCCAGGTACCTCTCGGATTTGTAGAGCACAGTTGCAGCCAGCAGTAAGTTTGAGCAGGGGAAGAGGTGTTTAACTTCCCTCCCTGGTGCCAGACCCCAGCAGGGGTTTGCCAGCAGGTTGAGGGGGCAGTACCCCCCGTAGACTGGGCTGCATCCCCAGCTGGTCTTGTCCCTCCCACCACCTTGTCAGCCAGCCTTCACTGTTCCAGCTGGGTGGGGGGCGGGCAGCTCTGGTCTCTGGAACAGACAGCCCAGCCCAGGGCTGGAAAGCATGCTGGAATGCTGGGGGACTGTAATTTAACTTGAACCAGGACGGGACCTGGGATGGAAGTTTCATAAATCGGTTTGACTCAAATCAGTTATGTCTGATACTACATTAAACCAGGTTTATCTTAAACCAGCTTCAGCCATCTTGAAACAGGTTTATGTGCACTGAGCTTCTGTTCAGTTACACCAATGGGTGTCAACTGGGGGTAACCATACCCCTGGGGGTACTTTGAAAGGTCCCAGGGGGCATGCGGGGGTGGGCATACCCACTCAAACCTGGATTTCTAATGGAATCAAATGATGTTTTCCATTTGTGGGGGAGGGGAGGGGAGTGGGGGGGGGCAAGGGGGAGAGTGTGAAACAGTTTTGCACAGTTTTTGTATCCATCTATTGTATACCTACAGTATTATCTCCTAACTGAATTGAATTTCTTAACTAATTACATCAGAAAATGTCCTTTAAGTGTGTTTTATTTCAAGTTTAATATAGATAAGATAATAGAGAAGATAGCAGAAAATTACCTTTAAGATAATCAGTGAGCTAATAGAAAGTTTCTAGGGCACCATATTCTAAAATGCAAAAGCACTTGCAAAAGTGTCGCTTTGTATTTACCCCTTCCCTAACGCAACTGATTTAAACAGAGGTGTACATAATTAGACTCATAGGGAATGATTCTTAGTAGTTCTGAGGCCATTTCACACTGTTGGCACTGTAATGGGACCTAAATTACATTTACACTCTCATTAAGGCCACTTATGCTGCCACAGTAGTAGAAATTAGCTTTTATCTTAAATAAGAATCAGGTCTGTAAGATCTGAGTGCATTTATTGAGCTAACAAGGAAGAAATTGTACCACATTTCTTTTTTTTCAGATGAAATAATACATTTCTTCCATCCCATAAAATACTTCACCTTTTTCTTTCCTAAAACTTTGCAGGCCCATGTAAAACTCCAAGAACTCTCTCCATTGTGTATAGTGTTTTGACTAGCCAAACAATTACAGTTGTTTGACCAGGAAAATAGTTTTGTTTGCTAATGCATTTTCAATGAAAAGCCCTGTGTTGTAAGTGAATAAGAGATTTTCTTGTAATACAGATGAACACAGATAATGCTTATTTGTTTCGCTCAGTGCTGAAGACACTGAAGAAGGCTACTAGACACTCCTGTAGTTTAATTACAATAGGTCACTGCATACTGGGCGCATTTTCACATTCATCAATGCACTTTTACATGACGCTTTAATGTGCAGTAAAACAGGCTACTGCACATTTAAGTGCATATGTAGATGCAGCCACTGAGTCTAATTTTAAAAGGTCCTCAAATTGACCTTGACTTCTATAGTCAAAACTTGGTACATGTAGATATTTGCATGTACATTTTTTAGCACAGTAAGCGCATGCTTATATGAATGTTAGAATGTATGAAGATCTACTGAAGACACTATAATCTTCCTCCTCTCCTGCCTTCCTGAAGAATGGAGCTCAAACAGTGCTTGTGCTTAGTAGGGCTGTGTGAAATTACACCAGCTGTTTCATTTTGATGCTGCTTTGACTCGTTTCGAGCTCAAAACAGCTAAATCAAAACGAAACAAAACGGAGGGCTTCAAAACAGCCTCAAACATAAATGAGGGCAGTCAAAATGTTTTGAAAGTTTCAAAACATTTTGAGTTCCAAAGCTGAAGCTGGGCTTGCCTGCAGAGAAACAGAAAGTAAGGAGAGGGAGGGAGACGAGGGGGGAAGGACTGCTCTGATATTGGCTGTGACTGTTTGGCTGCCTGAGATGGTGCTGGTGCTACTGTGCTGCTTACTAAGTTATTACCTGTTGTCATTTAAAGTGGTGGACCAGACTGAGGCTTTAGGGGAGGAGGAGGCCTCATTTGGGCACACTACCTTGTTGTGTCGAGGCCCCAGCGCTAGTGAGGACGTGCCTTAACCTACGCACACAGTCACACGTCACAAGTTTTGCTTATCAGCAGCTTGAGGTCCAGTTTCCCAGAATCCCCTGTACCTACCTCTTTGAAACCTGGCAGGCTTCATGGCCTCAGCAGGGGCTGCCATGCCTGCAGTTTTCATTCTCCTGTGCCTTTGCACTTACAAGTGACACAAGTTTTGCTTTCAAGACTTTGAGGTGCAGTCTGCTGTCTTCATCCAAATCTGCCCCCAAATGTCAAAATTATAGGCAGTTTCATGCTTCCCCACTATAGCCTATGGGCGAAACGTCGAAACAGTGTTGGAACAGCGAAACAGTTTCGACGGAATGGAACAGTGCTTTCAAAATTAAACGGAACTTGAAACGAAACACTGTCCCATTGAAGCGGCGAAACAGAAGTCAAAATGAAATGGTGGTTTCGCACAGCCCTAGCTTAGTACCAGTGGAAACCTACATGTAAAAAGATGCTTCGTTCTCAGCATCTACCTTGTACTGTATTTGTTTTTCTAAAAATGTATTTGTTGTATGAGTCACATTTGTAATTCATCCCAATAGACAATTCCACTATGATAGTAGAAATAAGGGTGCATAGGCTAATTGTGGTACTGTAAGGAACGACTAGATTTTTATACAAAACTTTCTGAAATGCAGTTTTTTTTAATGTAAATGTTTTCCTTTTTTTTTTTTAATTTTACTTTTCTATACATCCATGCTAGCTAGTTTGCTTCACTAGAAAGCACTTGAACAAAGCCTGTTGAAATTGACAGAAGGTTTTCCATTAAAATTGGTTGGCTTTGCATCAGATCCTAGACATAAAAATGACATTTATTTCCCAACTTGAAGTCCCAAGATATTTTGCTGTTTTTAGTAAAGTGCTGATAAGTATCCAAACATTTGTATACATCGCCTCTCTGATTTTTTCCCCATCGTCCATCCCTGGAGAAACCAGCGCTAACAGATTCTGGCATGTGACCCTTGCCACTTAGAAATGTTGATGGAAACAGGACTGATATTTATTAGCATTAACTTTTTTCCTACTTATTTTTCAGTTCAACAATAATGCGCAGAACGTCAGTTGCTTTAATCATCTCGTCCAAGCTAATGTGAGGAATAAGAAGAAGCTGAAAGAGGCGGTCTATAAAATCATAGCTAAAGGAATCACTGATTATAAAAAGGGTTTTAGCTATGCTTTTGAACAGCTGCTAAATGTAAGTATTGCAAAGTTATCCCTCAGTACTATTAAATTCTTGATCTGTACTCATAGAACTGCAGTGTACAGATGGTTACTTTGAATGCTCTGCTCCCAGTAAATATTGATGCATTTTATGATGAAGTCATTAACAATGAAATGTATCCCAGCAAACTAGTTTGTCTTAGCAGAAATCCCCTTAGCTTGATTTAAGATTTGTGATGGGGAAACTTATTTGTGGCTGTGATTTACCATTTTTCCCCCACCATTTTGGTCTTTTTTAAGTGTCTTTCTCTTCCAGTTGTCACATGATATCAGTAGTGATCACTTTGCAGATAGCTTTCAAATGAGAAATGATGGCATTGCAACTTCCATGAGTATTTCAGCTATCTCGGTGTCCTGGCCATATGTAATTTATCCAGACTTTCTGAGATTTAAAACTTTGTGTGTGGGGTCTGTAAGCTACACAATGGATATAAACAACAACCACAAGGATATTTAGGCAGTTGGAAGAAAGTATTCTGAATGTGTATCTTCCTGCCATGTCTAAAACACTTGATTTGATTAGAGATTGAATGCTTTCAGTTTTTAGATTTTTTACAGATTTTCTTGTTTGTATACAAACAGTGGCTAATTAGTAAAATTGTAAAATGTTGCAAATTTCTTTACTACATACTAAATATATTTAATTTAATATAAATATTATAAAATATAATTTTTAAGAAAAATATTTAACGTACGTGTTCAAAAACAATTATACATTTCACCATGTTAATGATCATAGGTCAGACCTTCAGCTGATGTAGACAAAGCTACACTAAATCCAATTAATATAATGGAATGAATACACTTTTGATGAAACTTCACTTCAGTGAACTTTCTCAACTGAAGCCTGTGTCTTCTTTCCTGACCTGTTGCCTTTTGCACCCAGAAACCATTGTTCTTTATCATGCCCTAAAAATAGAGCCAGCTGTAGAATTTTCATGCATATGAAATTGTGACAGGGAAAAAAATTGGTATCTATTTTTCAAGAATAGGTATTTTGGGCCTATTTGACATGGGGTGGGTAAAGGATTTGGTGCCCTCTGCTGTTGATATTTGGAACTGCAAGCAGGGGTTTCCACTAGGGCTGTGCAAAGGTTTGGAAGCCAGTTTTGATTCAGAGGAGGTTCAGCGGCAAGTATTTGCTTCGGATCTGATTTGACCGAATCCGAAGTAAATACTTGCCACTTCGCACAGCTTTAGTTGCCACCTTTCCTGGCTATGGGCCAGATTGACCCAGCTTGGGTCAGAGGTGTCCCCACAACAGCAGGAGAAGACAACTGCTGCTGATGCTCTTCCCATGCCACTTCTGGAAAAATTGGTAATGGCAGCTGGGTCCTAGCACCAGCCTGTCACCCGCCCACCCACCTCTGACCCAAACAGGGCCAATCCAGCTGCTAGGGCCCCAGGTGCTAGAATCTCTCAGCCAGCCTGAGGCAGTTTTCCCACTTGTCTCTCTGTCTGCAGCCAGGTGAGTACAATAACAAGGGAAAACTAGGGGGAAACAAGAAGTTTTGTTGCATTTCATAAGCTCACTGAAGCAGGGATACTCTGTTATGCCAGGTACAACACCAAGAACAATAATGACTAGGAAGTGGTAGAAGTCCTAATTAAAATTAGTGAATACAGAAATGCCACAGAACAGATTTGTCTGAAAGGTGGGAATGAGTAGGTGTTGACTACTCATGTACGTTTTCTATAACCACGATCATCTCTCACTGCTGTAGATGTGGTTTTAGTTAGGTCCTCAGAGTGTTTTACAAGAACGTGTAATCATGGATGTATGTTCTTATGTGTACATGAGGCAAATACAGAGATTACGAGGTTAAGGACCTAGTTCTTCCTCTTCAGTTTCTGACAAATCCAGGAGACAGGGGGAGGGTAAAGGTTTGCTGATGGAGTCAGCTATAGACCCTGGAGACAAGAGTGTAAAATATAATAGGATGAGATTATGAAGGCTTATAAAGATAACAAGATTATGAATATGAGTATGTTTATGATTTCAGACAGGCGGGCTTTCTAATGTGTTCAAGGGGCGTTGAATATGAGTGTATTTTAAAAAGAAAAAGCTAGTTCTCATTATAAGGACCAGTGCAGTGGATAACAACCATTTGAACTCATTCTCACTAATAAGGAAGTGTTACCTTCTTTGTGCCTGCAAGAAAATTGCTTTCTAAATATAATGCTGTTTGGAAACAAATGCTTTAAGTCCTCAAAATAAATTAAGGCAAATTTTAGTAATATGGATATGCTTATTTGTGGATAAGCATTTTTTTTTTTTTTTACTGATCTACACATTAACTAAAGAATTCTTGGTAAGTAATGTTCTTTAGCTGTAGTGGTTTAATTAATCTTTACCCTATTATAATGACTACTGTAGAAGAAATTTGTCAGTAAACCTCCTAGAGGCCTATTTTCATTCCAGCTAGATGATTTTTCCTTGCTTTACTTTTTCCTTTTTCAATGACATGCAAATTCACAGCTCAAAATGTATTCATCAAGCTTTATGCTCCAAGCTATAATCCCAGTCTACAGGTAAAAGAGCTCAATTAATTTTTAAGGACGTGGTAATTACCTGAAATCAAGGCAGTTTTATCCACAACATAAAAGGTCTAGCTCCTTGCTTGCTCTTTGAAGTTTAAAATCTAAAACAAAATGTGGAAGCAACAATTATCATCTAATAAAGGGGAGGGGTGCTGAGAATAATTTTTATTATAGAGATCATTCACCAGCATCAAGAAAATCATAAGGATTTTTTATATTTTGTCATATTCATCCAAAGCCGTATATTGCATCTGGTCAGCATCTACATGTGCATTTAATCATAGTCAGTTACCCCACTGTAAGACAGTGCTGTCATGGAAAAGTACTATCCCACTGTAAGAGAGTACTTTTCCCTGACAGTGCTGTCTTACAGCAGCGTCCGTTAGTTTACTGCAGCCTAATAGCATTGCACATGTAGATGGTGATGCTTTACTCTGCAGCTAATTAGTCTACTCTGCAGTTAGGCTCACATGTAGACACAGCCAGTGAGTAGCAGTGAATAAACAGCAGCCTGAGGAGGTGCTATGAAGGCAATGTAGAAGTCTTATGCCACAATATGGAGGCTTTGTCACAAGCAGGCCCTCCATAATTGACAAGTTAGGAATGCTGCATAAATGTGCTCCTTTGCACACAATTCATGAAGCAGACAGATGAACCCAGAAGAAAACTGGGGGAAAGAAGAGACTGCAGGAAGAGACGTTTCTCTGCTTCAGTTTCTTAAACCATTACACAGAGGAACTGAAGAGAGATGAACAACCTTGGAGGGTAATGCAGGATTAATGCTAAGTTAACACTTAAAAGTGTGTGTGTGTGTGTGTGTGTGTGTGTGTATGTATGTATGTATGCAATATCAAAAAATATTGCCAACATGACGAATGGATAATTTGTTATAAACACAAAATATTTAGTGATACAGGAACAGAACAGTTTGCTAATATATCTCCTGTGTTCATAGCAATATATTTTAGAAAGTACGTATTTTGGACAAAATTCTGCAAGTAGGAGCATAATTTCACCCAGAGGAAACTGCAAAATTTACTTGCAAGACAAGATTCCATCCCAGCACATATGAGCCTGATGTAATATACTGTAATATATTAACTAAATATGAATTTATGCGAACTCTTCTTATATCTAGTCATATGTTTTCATTAAATGCATCATATCTGAGTAATATTCAGAGCCTTTGTAGTCTTTCCTGCAGGTTCCAAAAATATTCTCACTCCCGCTCTGTGTCTCTCTGTCTTTCTCACTAGCCTAAACCCCTTTTCTTCTATTCTTTCAGCAGGAGAAACAGAATTTGATCCCTTTGTACTGGCGAGAATAGCCAATTAGAGTTGCTTGGATTACAGCTATAGATCAGAATGCATATATGACAAAATAGTACGTTCTAATTGATGTCCTCTTGATATCTCATTAGGACCTGATCTAGGAAGGGTGTCTGTTAATTATATTGCATATCTGCAGCAGCCATCTTTAATGTATGCTTGCACACCAGAAGGTCTTTAATCCTGAAGGGCTGATAACACTCCAAGATCTTTGCACAATATTTGTCACTGATACCTAGTGCTGTGTTGCTACAACACAAGAGTTACATTTTCCAGTCTCGGCTGCCACTAATGGGTCCAGCTCTATTGGAGTAAGCCTCAGCTTGTTTGCAAGTACTAGATTGCATGTGCAGACCCATGTGCAGATTGACTAATTGATGAGCAGTGAGGAGATGGGAATTGTCATTTGACTTTTCAAACCCTTTTTAATTTAATAAAGTGGTTTAGTAAAGAATAATGATGAGCCACTGGGATTGCCCTAGCTGCAAGCTGTACATT